ATCTTTACGAAATAGGGCCATGATATAGATGTCCAATACTCTCATCACAATTTCTCCACATAACGCACCAATTAGGTGACAAATAAGGACATCAATTAGCAACTGTTCATGCACCAACCTACACTTTGATAGGTATTTTGGCCTTCCAAATTGTTGCAGAGGGTTCCAAAAACAAGGACATCAATTAGCAACGGGAAGAAGATTCAAATAGAAACGATCCTTGAAGAGTTAACAGTCCAACAACTCTAATCAAGAGCCATGGAATTCAAAGACACCGAACCAAGCAATTACAACAAAAAAAAAAGCTCAATTGTTTCAATACATTCAAATTCCCCAAGAAATTGAGATTCCACCCAACCTGAGAATATGAAGAATATACAATACTAGCAATGGATATTTTATGATTCCAAGACAAGTTAAAAAGTCAAGAAATAAAGATACAAACAAAAATTCTCCATTCCTGATATCTTCCCACAATCAAATCTTATCCCTATTCCCCACAATTAATCTAACATGCGTAGAAATACAATCAATAACTAGAGAGAGGTATTTCCAAGGATATCAACGAAACCCCATCTACCACCTTAGAATCCCACCCCTTAATTGACAACCATATTTATTCTTAATAACGAAATGCCACAAAGTGCCCTGTAAATTGGAATTCTCCATAACCACTTTCCCAATAAAGCTGTATTCTTTTCACCAAATTCCCTACATCCAGGCTACCCTCGATTCTAGAATTAGACACAATCTCCCAATTAATCATGTGACTTCTCTTTCCTTCACCACTTCCCTCTCACAAAAATCCCTCATTCTCTTCCCTATCAGTTTGGCTACTATTCTGGGAATCATGAACATGGACAAAAAATAAACATTTGCACAAGAGTTAGCCTCCCCCTTAGATAAACAAGTCTTTCCACTGCCCCAATCTCTTTTGCACCTGTTCTATTGTTGGATTCTAGAATTGTAACGATAAAGGATCCCGTCACCCCCCACCCCTGAAGCCCCAAGTCCTTTAAAGACCAATCCCCAATCCCACAACCTAACCTACTTGCTAACCTTTCAAGTTTACTCGAGTTGGAAAATGACTCCTACAATTACACTCTAAGACATATTAGCGGTCAGCATCAAGATCAAAGTAAACATCGCAATATGGTACATGAGGTTTTAAAACTCCTGCTCATTTCCAGATAAAAAGAATATGCAATCAGCAAACAGTAAACGTGACACACCCAACCTTTTCTTTTCCAATTGCAAACTCTTTACAAGATCACAACCTCTCACCTTCACCACTAATCTACTTAACACATCCACAACAAAGGTGAAAAGAAAAAGGCGGAAATAGATCTCTTATCTAAGAACCCTAGTGCATTAAACCTCCCTCAAGGAATCCCACTAAGCATAATCATAAAATTTGAACTCAAAGATACCTTGAGCTACCTTCTCCACCTACATCCAAAGAACTTAACTTCCAAAGTGATGTTTAAGAAACTCCATCCAGCATGATTATAAGTTTTGTCAAAATTGATCTTATAGACAATCCCGTCTTTCCTTTAAACTTCTATTCGTCCACAACCTCATTAGAAACCAAAACCACGTCAAGAATTATGCCCCCTTCACAAAATTACCCTGGTAAATCAATATAGTAGTGCCCAAAACTTTTCTTAACCTCATGGATAAAACCTTCGCCAAAATCTTACAAAGACTAGAAACAAAACTAATTGGTTGAAATCATTGATACCCAAAGATTGCTATGAACATTTGTTGCACTAGTATTCACATTAACAACTCCATTCTGAACACACAGAAATCATTGGACTCGGGTGACTTATCCGTACAACACTCAAAAACCGTTGCTCTCACCTGATTGTCATCTAAATCTATCCACTTAGTTTTCTAAAATGTGTGGAGAATAAATCTTTTTAAATAAGATAACAATAGCTTTCTCAATAAGAACCCCATCCTTAACACACATGATCAATGCAAAATACTTTCAACATGATACCAAAGTATAAAATTGTAAGAATAAAATTAAGTTTTTAAAATTTTTATTGAATTTCATTTTAATTATGTTTAAATTGTAAATTTCAATTTGTCCTAGTTAGTGTGTATACTCAAGAATAATAATAATTTTGACCTTAAATTTGGTTTTATGGCTATTCAAGCCAAACCATCAATTCCATTGCAAATATATTATTTGTAAGTTACACAAGTGTGGCCCAACGATCAGAAGGAAATTGAAAGCCATCATGTGTAGGTTACACAGTGGCAATACAAAAAAGCTATATAAGTGGCTTTGGAAAAAAGCTTTTGGTAGTAACCAAAATCCACTCCAGGAGCAACGAAGGAGACCTTCTCATTTCTTTTACAATTTGGCCTACTTTTCCAATTCCTCTTTTACACTTTGGCCTACCTTTTCAATTCATTCTTTTACACTTGACCTACCTTTTCAATTATCATCTATTTTATTTTTGGGCAACTCAATTAGAGTCAAAATCGTTCCAATCTTCTAGTGGACGTGACCATTGAGAAGGTGTTGCTGCGAGCGTCTGAGTTGGATCTTAAAATCGCTGGTGTCCGTCAGTACCCTCACGTGGGAGGGACTCAACTGCTTTAGGACAGTGATCACACGTCTCTCGGACTCGCAGGCCAGCTCATTCCAAATTAATTTATTTAGTTTACTTAGATTACATGTTTATACATTTTCTATATTTATTTAAATTGCATAATATATGATCTAACTATTGTTTGCATGTTTTATTTCGAATTTTAGATTATAACACTCATAATTATATTGCTCACATCATAATTCTAATATTTGTTGAGTTGTTCCAATTATAAATCTATACTTCAAATATATAGTTATTTTACAAAAATAACCAACCTCATATACCCGGGATATGCATTAGTATATTTTCTTAAAGTAAAACTCATCCATTGTCCTTGACAACTTATGGTATAAAAATAGAAGCTCTTCAATTTGTATCCTCGTTGAACCTCACCTTCGGAAGGGCAACTCAACACAAATTGAGGCCTAAAGAAAAATTTTACATGAGACCTCAGTTAATATTTTAAGATAATAATTTTTTTTAACTATTATTAGAGGTTTTATAGAGAGTTACGGTATAATTTATTTTCAATCTTTTAGTGCTTTGGGATTGAGCGGGATCAGATAATAAATTAGGTACAATTGTGAAATCAGGATCTTACAGATGAATAAATTGAATGAAATCTTAAAGAGACAGCAAGAGAGTTAGAAATAAGAACAAATAACCAAAGCAAGACAAAGAGAGTGTGAGGGAGAGAAAAAGTTGAAAAGAGGTGGTGAGAGTTGAGAAAAAAATAGTGAAAAGAATTTGAAAGAGTTTGTTACTTTTAAACCTAGAAATTGCTACTTTTAGATTTTTTTAGAAGACTTTGTTATATTTTAGGACTTTATATACACAAGACTTTACATAAACCTTTGAAAATATTGCTACATTTTACAGCTTTTTATAAAGTTTTAGATAGATTTCTAAAATATATTGGGCCTTTCATTTGGTCTACTCAAAAAGGTATTAGAACATGAAGCTGAACTAACAACTAAAAATTAAATTAGAGCCCTAGAAGACTATTTTAATGGTCAAGCCTACTATGCCGCCTCTCATTCAAATGATTGAAGAGTTTGGGCATATCGTAACAATTGTAGTCTCTGTTTGCGTCTCTTTATCGAGTCTTCGTATATGGAACCGATTAAGTGAAACAAATTAATTAATTAATGACACGTAAAGATTAAAGGTAATATATGTGTTACTCCATATTTTATGCATTTTTTTAATTTGTCAAAATAATGCGATGACTGTTACAAGGTACGGTCATAGGAAAGATATTTAATGTTATAACGTGGTGTTGCATAATTGTTTTTTTAGTAATTTAGCCATTTAATATATAATAAATATTACATATGTGTTATTTCATACTTATACTATCTGAGTGCAACTGTCAATAGTAAAATCCATTGAAATTGTAAATATACATAGATTATCATAGCTAAGTACACATGTTTTTACCAAACATATCCGCATATCTGTTTGTCTCTCTCTTCCACAAATAAAAATAAATAAAACACTTTTCACTTCTCTCAAACTCGATTTTGTTCTCATTTAAACACAAAAACACTAACTAATTAAATTGTTCATTCTCATAAAAGATCCATTATAAAAACTAATTAATATCAAAAAAAAAATTTCAATGAAGTTGTTATCGGAGAAAATAAATCACAACAAAACAATAGGTGAACGTTATATACATAAACAAGTTATGGATCATAAAAAAAAAAAAAAAATAATTCAATAACAAGTTAACAAAAAATTATGAATTCATACTGATAGTTGATAATCTAATACCATAATTTTCATGAAGAACATACAAAATAAATAAGAAGAACATGAAAATAGTAATAAAATAATATATTATGTTCCAAAAAGTGCGACTCGAGCAAGAGATGAGATTATATTAGGTCTAAAAGTGCAGTAGACCTCACACATACACATTTATTAAATGACAAAAAAAAGATTAATACTTTAATAAAAAAAGTATAATAAATTATAATGGTTTTTAATATTTGATCTATACTTAATTATTGAACTTTAAAATTTGGGGCCTTTTTTTATGTGTGGGGCCTAAAGTCCATGCTTTTTCGGCTCTATTGTTGAGCCGGCCATGGCCTTCCCTAACATAACAAGAGTTTACTTTAGTGCCACGCAAAATCTCTTCGATAAAGATTTGATTTAGAATATCAGCACTTGACTATAATGCTGACAATTGCCATATTGAATAGAAAAAAAAATAGATGGCATTGAAGTTCCCTCCTAGAAAAAACTTACATATATAAAAACTCTATACAAATTCAAATACCAATAAACCTCTACTCAATAGATTATAATGGAATTTTACTAGTACATCTCAATGGCGAATGCTATTCTTTTGCTAGAAAATTTACGTCGAACTTTGGGAACTAGCTATTCTTCAATAACCTCTCTCTCCTCACCTGGCTCAATTGCCTTCCACCAAAATCCCAAAGCAGCCTATGTGTTTTCCAACAAAAGAAATCCAAAAGAAGTTCTGAGTTTAGTATGCATCAGCATCAGCCACATGGTAACAATGTCCAATAGATTCTATTAATTTATTTATTATGACGCATAGAAACAACTTTCAACAATGTTTTTTAGGCTTTCATACATGTTTAATAACAAAATTAATTTTTTGCAGAATTCCTAATTTGTTTCCAATCACGGCTTGCAAGATCATTGAATTTGCTCCATGTATAAGGCTTTTAACCATGAAAATTACTTGTCTGCACACGAAGGGAAAAAAGATCATATAAGTACCTGGGCAAGGAAGCCTCCTAGAGCTGGACCTATAATTAGTCCTATGCCCCATGCTGTACTAACCTGACATAAATAATTAATATTCTCAATTTCAGTGATGTAGCACAATTTTTTTAAAAATAATTAGTTAACAATGATCACAACTACTTACAGCTGACAGTCCTAAAGCTTGATACTCTTCACGGAAAATTTCAGTTGCATATGCCTGGTCATGGAGAAAGCCTTTTTTTTCATTAAGATATTTTATTTGTGAAAAAGAGATATGTTCAGCAAATGTCAAGCACGCCAAGAGGGCACACTGAATAATTCTCTAGAGAGATTTCTCAACATGTACAACACACACAATCTAGTCCGAAACAAAACTCATATCACAGTCCGACAGACTATGTACACAAAAACCCACTTACACCCCTAGTGGTTAGGTGAGAAACCCAGCCCTAACACAATGCTTAATATCAAATAGCAATAAACTGACCTGAAAGATGACATACCTTTATTGGCCCTAGTAAACCATTCAGACTTCCAAGAAGAAACCTTGTAGAGATGGCCATCCAATAGTTTACACTAAGACCAAAGAGAGTGTTGAAAACAACCCTATAACAAACAAAAAAAAAGGTCAAAACTTATAACTAAAATTTGATATTAAGTAATTCTGGTATAATATTGCCAAAAATATGATCACTCACACTGTGGAAGTGCCAATAATTATTATAGGTTTTCGACCATATCGATCAGCCATTATTCCCCAAAAGACAGATGTCAGAGCTCTTCCAAGCATAAATGAGGATCCTTCATAGAATTGAGGGATTTATAAGCACACCTCTAAGTGGAACTAGGTAAGATTATTACTGGAAAGATATCACCAGGGCATTAGATTGGAACATAAAATAAGCTCACCTACAAAACCAGCATAGAAACCAATATCTTCTTCTCTCTTTGCAATTTGAAAATCCCTTATCTGCATAAATCAAATTTCAACACCAACCGCAAACACGTACATATGTATCAATGTCTGGCCTATTGCCTCATGGAAAAATGAAGAGTGGAGATGTTACAACCATGATTATACAAGCAAATTGCCAGAAGTTATCTAGTGATCAAAAATAATAATGGATCAGGGCCATATTTATTGGATTCCNTCTTCACGGAAAATTTCAGTTGCATATGCCTGGTCATGGAGAAAGCCTTTTTTTTCATTAAGATATTTTATTTGTGAAAAAGAGATATGTTCAGCAAATGTCAAGCACGCCAAGAGGGCACACTGAATAATTCTCTAGAGAGATTTCTCAACATGTACAACACACACAATCTAGTCCGAAACAAAACTCATATCACAGTCCGACAGACTATGTACACAAAAACCCACTTACACCCCTAGTGGTTAGGTGAGAAACCCAGCCCTAACACAATGCTTAATATCAAATAGCAATAAACTGACCTGAAAGATGACATACCTTTATTGGCCCTAGTAAACCATTCAGACTTCCAAGAAGAAACCTTGTAGAGATGGCCATCCAATAGTTTACACTAAGACCAAAGAGAGTGTTGAAAACAACCCTATAACAAACAAAAAAAAAGGTCAAAACTTATAACTAAAATTTGATATTAAGTAATTCTGGTATAATATTGCCAAAAATATGATCACTCACACTGTGGAAGTGCCAATAATTATTATAGGTTTTCGACCATATCGATCAGCCATTATTCCCCAAAAGACAGATGTCAGAGCTCTTCCAAGCATAAATGAGGATCCTTCATAGAATTGAGGGATTTATAAGCACACCTCTAAGTGGAACTAGGTAAGATTATTACTGGAAAGATATCACCAGGGCATTAGATTGGAACATAAAATAAGCTCACCTACAAAACCAGCATAGAAACCAATATCTTCTTCTCTCTTTGCAATTTGAAAATCCCTTATCTGCATAAATCAAATTTCAACACCAACCGCAAACACGTACATATGTATCAATGTCTGGCCTATTGCCTCATGGAAAAATGAAGAGTGGAGATGTTACAACCATGATTATACAAGCAAATTGCCAGAAGTTATCTAGTGATCAAAAATAATAATGGATCAGGGCCATATTTATTGGATTCCTTAAGAGAGAAAGTTGAAATAGAAAACAAGGAAGCCAAGATATAGAAAAAAAAAACTCCTTTAATCACCTATCCTATTCATATGTATGCTACTATAGGTTTAACAAGCCATTCTATGATTGTGGCATTTCAGGAAAAGAATGACAAAAATTGTGATGATCTGAAAAATTGTACTTGTATCAGTTGATAATACAGTTTGTCGTGCGTATTGTACTATAAATACTGAGTTTGAGACAGTATTAGCAAGATAGCGTTGATTAGATGATGTTAGGGAAGTTTTGAGAGAGTTGCAGCAATTGGTCGACCAAAGGCATGGAGGGTGCGTATGGTTTTCACTTCTAAGCACAATGATGTCCAATTTTACAAGAACCAGTCAACCAGAATCCTAAGGGGGGTCATCCAGTGCAAACCCAAGGAGCGGGTTCATCCAAAACACCCTAGTCTGGCACTCCATTAGAGTACTAATCCGATCACCCTGAAAGCCTAAGTGGATCATTTTATTCCAACTGGACACAGATTTCTTACAAACCTGTGGTCCAGTTTGCCTAACATATTGCCCAGCTCTTCCGGGATGAGGTATTCTGACTTCAACCTAGGGCTCTTTTGTGTAATTTTTGAAGGATTAATAATGCAAATCATTCTACAAATAAAAGCCCATGTGCAATATTCAATCACTTTGCAGTAGTAGCAATTATGAGAACTTGGTCACTACACAAGAGCAAGATGTTCTTTTCCTTCTAGTACACTTTAAGAAAGGGAAAGAAACTTCTAGGGTCTCTCCTTTCCCTCTTTAGTTAATTCTGCAAGATTAAAGAAACAGAGTCTAAACAAAAGTAAGATTCAACTTGATTACCCCCATTTGAGGTAGGGGATATCCATCTACCCTAGGGACAATTCATGCTAGAAACTTGTTTCATACTATAGATCTTTTTCATAAATGTTGTAGTTGGCCTTGTATATGAGACTTTGACCATGGGAAACAGCTAGGTGTACTTGAAATTGGTTTTTATGGGTATGATGGGTTTGACTCAAGTTGCCTGTGGTCATTAGTTGCTGGAAATTTACCTAATTAGACTTGCATATGGGTCTTAAAGGTTGAGTACTGAAAATAATACTAGAAAACATGTTTGTGTGAGCTTGTTGAAGTAAGCCAATTTTATTACTTACATATGGCTGTTGCATATAAGTTTTAAGAGCTCCAGAATCATGTTAATTTGATGTTGAAATTGCTGGGTACAACAATTTTTTCTACTTGAACCATTAGAAGGATTTAATTTACATTTGCAAGTTAGAAAAGAAAACCCAGAACTCTGGAATTTGTCAATGGCAGTTGTCTTGTAAATTTTCTGAATAGAAAAGTTATTTCAATATAGGTCTTTGAGTACTTAAACTACAGATTGCAATGGTGCTTTGAGTTTTTGTTTTAAATGGAAAACGTTACATATCCCATGTTGGAAAAAGTTTTAGAGATTGACAGGAATTGCTCGAAATTGATTTTCTATGGGTGTTTTCTCTATTTAAGAATACTTTTGCCTGGCTTTTCTGGCACTCCCAATGTTCTGAAAAGTGACTACTTTTATCATTACACACTTCAGGCAATTTGCATTACATTTCTGTTTTTTGTGAATTTACTAAATTTAGTCGAAGCTGGTAGAAATTGAAATCTTAAAGGTTATGAATGGCATGAGAACCAGGCTCATAAGACTCATGTTATGATTTGGAATTTCTGATGCATATATTTGACTGTTGATGTCTGGCTCAAGAAGACTGGCATCATGTTGGAATTCAGACAATTACAGATACAGAGTTGTGCTAAACTGACAATGTGAAATGCAAAATAACATAATAGGAATGCATGTTATGACTTGTTTTGTGATAATGGTTCCTGAATGATGTTGTCTTGGTTGAATGTGTACGGGGAACATATCCCTTGGTGAAATTCCCTAGACGTGGACTATATAGATGTCGTAAATTGGACCAAAATCAAGGAGAGATTGTGTTTTCTTGGGTAAAATACCGTCAAATCGGATCCAAGGCTTGTCAACATCTTGTGAGACGGATGAATTACATAGTACATTAGACTAATTTGAGCAAATAAAGTTATACAGGAGCCAACAGCTGCTTTTTCAAATCTGGCCAAGCACAATTATCATGGACTTTTCAATTTAGGCTTGTATGATTAAATACATCTGAAATATAGGGCAGTTCAAACCTCCTCAACTAATCTTGTCCAAACTACGTTGGGTTAGCTTAGATGAACCTAGTTTGTCATTCCTCTCTGTTTGGACTTTGGAGTCATAATCTGCTTAGATAAATCTGAATCTCTCCTTTGACCTTGTATTATCATCACTTTTTTTTTTTTTTTTGTATTATCATCACTAGATCCTACAATTAGTGGTCTTTGTTGCACATGAAGAAATCAACTTAGTCAATTTTCCTGCAACTTGTTACCTATTGGTGAATTTACTAACATCTCATCGATTGAAGCCTTACGTGACATGTGATGCAACTTTGGATTGATTCCTAAGCAAGATGCTATTTCTAAGATCTTATCTGCTAAAGATTTCATTAATTTTTCATGCAACCTTACCTCCAGGTTTTTTCCAAAAAACTTATTTTCCTGGTATGATTCCTAGAAATTCAAACCGCCGTTCCTTGACGACTATTCCTCTTCTACTTATCTTTTTCTCTGCAAGTATCATGTTCACGAGATCCTGTTTGCACAAACCCACATAAGTCCATATTCAACCCCAAAATTCTACCATGTCTTTACCCAAATCAACCTTAGACCATTCAAGAACATTCTATTATCTAGTGCAACACCCTAAATCTTAAAGATTTGGGCCCAGTATTTCTCAAATTTTAATGGTAAGTGTCACCTTTGAGAAAAAGAAAACTCCAAACCTTGCCATTTAAAAAATTAAAATCATTAGAACTATCCTACATCAATTTCGTAGCAGAGCTAACGAGTTCTTATAGTTAGTTTAGGTTTCTAACCCATGAGAGGCATGAGAAATTTGACTTATGATTTGAAATCAAATCTTTAAGCACATAAGAATTGCCATTGATGAATGGTTCAAAATAAGTTGGCTAGAATGGATTCAATACTAGCATATCTAGAAATTAATACTCTTCAGCCCTTAAAGGCTTCTATTGATACTTTGCTTGATCAATATTAGATGAGTAGGTCACTGCATAAAAAGTAACAATATTTGGAACCTGTTAACATTGCCTACCTAATCCATTACTTCTCTCCCTAACAAGGTATTTACATATATCCATAAGTTGACCATAAGAGGATCACGATGCTGAAGCCAATAAATTGAAGGCGAAGCATGAAACATAATTTACTTCCAAGTTTCAGGTCAGTCAAAGTATGCCTCTAATTTACAAGTTGTTTCAAGTTTCAACTATTTTCTCCATTGTCCTAGTCAATTATAGGGTGAGAAGAAAATATAGAATTAATTATTGCTGCTATTTTATTTGATTCCCAAAGGGCCACTAATGTCGAATCAACTTTGCAATTTTATTCCTCCAAAGATGCAAGGTTGAATCTTGTTGCAAGTTATTGTTAGTCAAGTTTAGGCATTGGCAGCTAGTACAATTATATCTACTATTTGTTAGGCTTTAAAAGTTGGTGTATTTCATCCATTCCTTCATTGATATACCCTTGGGGTATGTGGAATAATTTGTTGAATTCAATTGGCGAGACTTAGTTTGTCCTACTGCAGTGGAGTAGTTATTGCACATTAAGTTTTGGTTTTCGGATGACTGATGAAGCTAAGGTTCTTTCAAATTTTGCGTCGATGGCTATCCTTAGGTGTATTTGGTTAGAGAATAATACAAGAATTGTGTTACTCAGTTCTTCATAGACCATGTCCATTGGGCTTTTCAGAGAGCTGCCTTCATCAGATTTTTCAACATGATTGAAAGGCAATTCTCTTTTAGTTTTCTTTTTATACTTCATTAGTTCTCTCTCTTTTTTGAGGATATCTCCTCCTTCATATTGTTGTCTCCCTTTTCTAACTGTTCTTCCTTACTAATATTCTACTCTTACCAAAAAACCAAAAGTGGGTATATTTTGGGAATTTCAAGATTTTCCAGATTGAGTTGTACTTGTGATCCATGGTCTAATTTTGAGTCATGTAACTAAGTTGTTTAAGATATTCCTTGATATCTCAACAATATGTTAGCTGTCAATGTTTCAAAAATTTTCTAACCTTGACTCTTAGCTAGAGAAAACCATCCAAAAAACCCTCTAGTAAACCTAAAAGAAATCGGATAGCCTATAAATATAATATATGTGTGCACATTTGATTGAAGAAAAAGAGTTCGAGTATCCTGAATTTGAGAGAATTCTTCGATTATGTGTTGAGTGATGCATTCCACACCTCCAGATTAATTCCTAGATTCTTCTACTTTGCTTCAAATAATTTGCTCGGACTATAATACACAAGCAGCAAACAGCCTTCTTTCAGCCCCCAAACTCCTATCATTTGTAGCTCTAACTCAACATATTCTATGTTTCGCTTTTTAATGTAACTAAATGTTAACAGACTTGCTGCCCATAAATTCCAGAACACCATTTCCCAAAATTCGTGCAATATATCACCTATAAAACAAGCAAGTTCAAATCCTTCTTTTCATTTTTAAAGCCTACAACCTTCTACCTAACGGAAAACCAATAAGGTTTCTATAATCTTGACAGGGAAAGTGCAACATGATTTTGGTTTTCCCAAAGTTCTCCTACATTAAGGGGTCAAGTAGCCGGAATATGGATAACTTTAGGGAAACAAAGAAAGAAAATCTCTGAACTCTATATTTATAAAATGAAACCTTTGGGAAGGAAACAATTATCAGCCTTCTTACATAAACAATGATGAATTAAAATATGTCCTCTTCCAAAAAAATTTCCAAGCAAATCAAAAGTAACAGCAGCTGAATCCAAAATTGCACTTACCATGAAATAAAGGAATGGGAAGAGAGATGATATTGGCAGTGCTGCACAGGTAAAGCAACAAAAAATAAAAGATGGGCATTAGGGCATCAGTATATATGACAAAAGAAACCATATTACTGAGCATAAATTAGCAGGACTTATACAAGTTGTTTTGCAGAATATATGTCATATGGCTATGCGTGCGTGTAAGCAAGCATTAAACACAAAATAATGTTGAAATGGTTGCAGATTTTGACACAAAAAGCACAACGCAGACAACTTGCAGAAATATATATCAGACAAGAGGGAAAAAAAACTAAACATTTGTGTAAATGGTCCCCACTAAGCAGTAGTTTCAACGAACACCAAATCAAAACAACATTTAGGAATCAAGAGTTGTATTTCATCCTGCACGCTAATATCTTGGAATTGAATTATAGAAAATGAAAGAACATCATTTATAGAAAAAACATAGGGAGGTACCTAATATCAATGCATTTCTTAATGCCTTTTATTCGTGAAAAATATATAGACAGCTACACGCATTAGGCGGCTCTGGCTCACGCCAAAACCTGATTAGCAGCCTACATGGCTTCCATTTTTTCATCAGCCATACCCCCTTTTTGTTATTTTTCACCCACCACTGATCTTTCATATTTCCATGGCAAAGTCAATCAACAGAGCTCAATTAATTTTGGGCAATAGAAATATTAAGGTAATGCCAGCAAAACCCATACTTCAAGAAATCTGCAACGGCATTAGTATTTTCAACCTCTTGAGTGCATCTAGTGAACCAAATTAAATAAAGTATCTAAAACCGTTTGCACATCCATTTTACATCAAGGGACTCGACCACTCCAAGCGAATTCTATTTTTCATCCTTTTGGGGACACCATCTATCAAATAATTTTGGATAAGCATATTGCACACGTTCAACGCACCCACATAGAACCACATGCTGCAGAGACATAATTAAAATAAATTATGTCATAATCATTTTGCACTTATCCTGGACCTGCCCTGCATATTTCATTTCATTTTCAATCCAGTCTTCCATAACATTTCAGGCCTACTTGTTAGGTCTTGAATTCTTTGCCATGAATTTCCCTGTAATTCATTTTTCAGGTTTAGTAAGGTTCAGCACACAGGGAGAAACTCAGGAAGCATTTTTAGCATACGGTTTAATTGTTGCTCTTACAAAATTCAAACCAAAACCAATTGATCATCAGAACTATTAATATCTCCGATAAATTTTCACCATCTTGGCTCCAGAACTATTAATATCTCCGACAAATTTTCACCATCTTGGCTCCAAGTAGTAGTTGTGCCCCCCACCCAAAAAAAAAAAGACACCCAGTATATGCATATACCAATAAGCACAAGTCAGTTTCAGCCAATGATTGTTATTAAGAAGACAAAAGATGAACCATCAAAAGTCTTTAAAACAAAGGCCAAAAACAAGCATGAGGTTGCTTACCTGTGCAGAGCACCACAATCCATATAGTTACGAGTTCCTTGATAGGCAAACCACGCTGCATTTCTTTATACTGATCAACCTTACACCCAGGGCAGTTCTCATAGTAAATTTTCTTGCCCAGAAGTGTGTCTTGAAGCTCGTTCTCTGCCATTTGGTTGGAAGCCAAATGAAATTAGGCACCCAGCACTCTTTTATGCCAATGGAAATCCAACCAACCTGCCAATCATTCTATTTTATGAGTGAAAATACTTCTACTTTGTAAAAGACTAGTATTATGAATATTCCCTAGTTTACATACTTGGACACAAGAATTTCAAATCTGGTTATACATTTTGCAGAAACAAGACAAGAGCTTGGTTCATATTCTTAAGCAACAAGAAGGAAAAATGCACATGTAAACCAGAATGGAACGTGGGCTATTTTAATTACATCATTGCTTACGCAAGTGGGATTTTAACAGCAATAATAGCCAATGTGTGTGTGTGACGAGAGAGAGAGAGAGAGAGAGAGAGAGAGAGAGAGGGGGGGGGGGGGGGGGCAAAAA